GGTGACTTTCTGAGCTTGTTGGACTAGGCCAGGAGTGGTCATCTCCATATTTGTTTTCCTGTGTCTAGTAACCAGACAGTCCTCCTGGTTTTTAGTAGCTCTTTTCGTCAGTTGTGCTTTTCCTTTCTTCGGACTCATTTCTGTGAATGAGCTCTGGAAGCACTGAGTGTGAACACACCTTCTGGGGTGGGGATACTGGAGGGGACTACGGGGCTGTGTCTTCACAGAAGGCAGCCCATTTGGCTGTTGTCTGGTCTGCCAGTTGGTTTCCCCAACTCGCTGACCTTGACTCTCCGTGTGAGTCTGGCATTGCACAGGCTGTCACAGCGGGGGGCTGAGACAGCTTCTAGGAGCTGGGGATTTGGTCTGTTTTTAATTTCTTTGCCCCCTGAGGTAAGTAGTTCCCTTTGTTGATGTATTGCTGCTTTGAGTCTCTTGATGTGAGGAGCTGTTCCCCATTGTAGGCTACAGTAAAAGGTTCTATGTCTGAACTGGAGCCCGTCTTGTCCTTTAAGTCTGGCGGTGAGGAGAAAAGCATCTTATAATTTCTCTGCAGTAATGGAGGGGATGAAGGGAGGGCCTGGCCTTTCCCTCCGTGCTGAGTCAGATACCATTGGGATCAGGTGGTCTTGATTCTTTGGCACTCACTGAGTGGTGGTGCTGGCAGTTGGAGCCAGTAGGAGGCAGCATCATGGACCTCCCCTCTCTGGGGAAACTGGTGGGGCATTTCCTTGGTGTCTTCAGGCTTAACAATCTTCGTGGGACTGTGCAGGTCTCACATCAGGACTGTACCGACCCCATGAACGGAAGAGTTCCCTAACCAGGATTTGAGGGATTTTATATCCCTCAAATGGGTGGAGAAGACCAACTTCTCCCTCAAGCAGGTGCTTGCCTGCCTGGCAGCCTTCGGGGACTTGAGAGATCTTACCTTAGGGCCACATGTATAACCAATCCCATACTTAGTCACCCCTACTGCAGGAAGTGAGTGCCCATATTCAGATGAAAAGACCTCAGAGGAGCCATAGGCTGGGCCCTGTCAGATCTCATATCCCTGGGCCATGGGGCCATTGCAAGTATTCACACATTCATGCGCCAGTCATTGGTTTGAGATTACTGATCCTTCTGTCTCTCTGGAGACCAGTACCAATGCCTCAGTATCCCCTGGGGGCTCTTCCTTTATTCTGTTGTGACCAGGTGTAATACACAGAATTATTTCACTTTTCTTGTGTTTCTTTAGACATTCTTGGTGTCCTAAGTCATCATCTTTTTTAGAGAAAGTTCTGAGGGCTGTAAAGAGAAATGTGTATTATTCAGGGTTTGGGTGAATTGATTATTTAATGATACATGGACGAGGTCAGAAGACACTGACTGTGGGAATCATTCCCTACCTCCAAACTTAGGCCATCAGGCCAAGGATGAAATGTTGTGGAGATGTCTGTGAAATCCATTTGGTTTATGATGTAATTTAATCCAAACGTTCTTTTTGTTCATTTTTGCTGGAATGACCTGTTAATTGCTTCAAGTCATGTGTTGAAGTCACCTATTATTACTGTACTGGGTTAGTCTTATAGTATTTATTTTATGAATTGGGAGCACTTGTGTTTGGTTGCATGTGTGCTTAGAATTGAAATGTCCTTGTCAATGCAGAAAGCACATCTCTCACCTAAAGAGAATAAGAGATAGTTTTATTCTGGAGCCTTTTTGACTGACCATGATCCAGGAATACAGATTTAGGTTACCCCAAATTCCATGGTCTAACATGGAAGTGGTTTCATGACGTGTTATAGTTTCAAAGGCTACAGAAAGTTATGAATCCAGGCAAGTTGGAAATATATCAATAGGCACATCAGAGAGATGGTTACAGCAAGGTGGAGGACACTCTGCTATGAGCCTTGGGTGTTATGTGATGACAGTCTTAGCTTTCCGGTTTGTGGAAGGTGCGGTCTGTCAGGTTCATGACTTTGCAAAGGTTTGTATCTGTCACACAACCGGATGTTAGTTCTGACAGGGAGGTGGGTAAGAAATGGCTATTCAGGGGGCCAAAGCTAGGCCAAAGTAAGGTAATTAGCCTGTCCACATCAGTGTATTCTGTCAGGCAGGCAGACAGGCAGGCAGGCAGTCTTTGCAGACACAGCTGCCTTCCAGGAGTTTTCGCTCACACCTTGGTGGGTTGTTGCATCACTAGTATAAAGTGACATTCTTTATCCTTGTTATCAGCTCTGGTTTGAAGTCTGTTTCATCAGACACTGGAGTGATGGCACCACCTTGTTTCGTAGCTCCTCTTCTAATGAGTCACATTTCTTAGAAGGGACAAAACAGAAAGGCTGCCTTTAAGCCATTCTGCTAGAATGTCTCTTGACTGGGGATTGAAACCAAGTTTTTTCTGCCCTGAAATTTGAGGCACAATTGACCTTCTCCCCTTTACAAAATAACTAAGAAACGAACCATTGTATTTTGTGTAACTATTGCTAAGTTTGGATTGGGTCTTTCATTTTACTGGTTATTAGATTTTTTTAAAATTTAAAAATCTTATTGTGTGTGTGTGTGTATAATGGTGTGTGCATGTCACACAGTGCACATGTAGAGGTCAGAGAATAACTTTTGGGAGTTGGTTCTTTCTACCTGTGGGTTAGGCTTAGTCGCAATCGTGCTCGCCTGCTGCCTTAATTGGCGGCCCTGCATTCTTGTTCAACCTCAGTATTGCCTTCTATTGAGTTATTTGTATATTTGAACTACTCCATTATAATTTTAGAGTGCTTTTTATATCTCCTTGTATAGTTTGGTGATTACTCTAGGGATTATGATTTACGTTAAATCTGTAACTATGTTATTTTTCATTATGTCTTTGCTAATTTTTCCTAAGTAAAGGTCTTTTAAGATGATATGTAAACTTCTCTGACACACATCCCATCTAATATAACAGTTATGCCCTGAAATTGTTTTTTAAAAAATACTCATAACTGGTTGGTGGTGGCGTACGCCTTTAATCCCAGCACTCAGGAGGCAGAGGCAGGCGGATCTCTGTGAGTTTGAGGTCAGCCTGGTCTACAGAGGGAGTTCCAGGACAGCCAGGGCTATTACATAGAGAACCCCTGTCTCAAAAAAAAAAACAGAAAAAATAGCAACAACAAAACCTCATGACACTCTTTTATGTCATTAATAACTTGCCTTGATTTCATCCACAAAAGAGATAATGTTTTGTCTTAATAGTCTCACTAGGTTGATGTCTGTTATTAAGCAGCTTAGTTTTGATTTGAATCCACAATTTTCTATTTTTCTGTGATTGTGACTCTAACTCCCTAGCATTACTCATGGCCAGCGCTGAAGAAAGCACTTCATTTTGTGTTACTGCTTCTGTTTAACTGGCTGCTCTAGGCAGTTGAATGGCCCAAGATACACTCTGCTTTTTATGTGTGAGGCCAAAGCAACCAAGGGAAGTTTATTTCCATTTCTGTAAAAAGGAAAGGTTTGAATTGTGACGAGTTTTGTAGTTGGATTTTTGTTGTTGTTTTGGTTTGATATCGTTGAGTTGGCTTTAGCTACAACCTGCATCCCTAACCAGTTGTTATTGACATTAAAAAAAATTGTGCCTTCGTGCGTGCATTCGTGTGTGTGTGTGTGTGTGTGTGTGTGTGTGTGTGTGTGTGTGTGCGCGCGCGCGCTCGTGCATGCGTGCACATAGAGGCCAGAGGGCAACTTATAAAAGTAGTTTTCTCCACCATTTGAGTTCCAGGTTTTGAGTTCACGATACCAGGTTTACCTGCTGAGCCATCTAACCAGCCCCACTGACAGTATTTCTTGTTATTTTGTATGCTTTTAATTTCTGTTTTTATAGTTTATATGATGGTTACTCTAGTGATTGTAATTTACATTGGACCAGGCACTAACTATATTTTAGTTGGGTTCTATACAGATCCATTTACTATGCTTTTGTTAGTTCAGTTCATTTAAGGTATTATTACCCTTTTCAAAACCAAATGAATTTTCAAGCACCAACAGGACAGCTTGGAGTGTGTGGCAGACTTGGCTAATGCTACCAAAGTGTCTGAATTTAGTAGTTCACACAAGCATCAAAATGGCAGGTTTCCTAAGACTTGCGATTCTCACTGAAAGTTTATTGCATAAAGCAGCTGAAAGTAAGCCTGTCAGTCACTGTATTTCTCAATGTTGTGTAATGCCTTTCTTGGCCAGGAACCTTAATCCAGCCCACTGCTATGCAGTGAAACTTTCCCATGACAGTGTAAATATATACCTACACTGAATAATATAACAGCTACTGTAATTTTGTCTGCTTTTTATTCATTTGAAGAGCTACATGTGGCTATTAGACCATCAGCTAACAAAAGCAGGTTTAGACTCAGCTTCCTCATTTATATGTGAAACTTCCTTAGAAATTTTCTGCATCTCTCAACTCCAAGTTGTCATAAGTATAAGCTTCTGAGAAGGTCCTTGTTGGTCACAGATTAGGAGAGAGAAGGTTGAAGGACAGTGGTGTATAAAGTGATTGTTAGAGCCAGCATAAGTATATGAGCAAGTAGTTTGCTAAAGGTACAAGGTGACTGAGTGTTCAGCGAAGGAAAGATTTTATGCAGGTAGAGCATAATATAGGGAACTAGGTGTACATTTCTGATGACACCTGTCATGGTTTGCTTGAATCTGAGGAGAAACCTGTTTGAAGCTCCCACCTGGATCCACATTGGAACAAGAACCCTTTGCCACTGCTCTCCACAGCTGTTGTTTGTGGACGTCTAGAAAGCAGGAGAAGTAATTGAGAGGCAGCAGAACTTAAGTCATTCTCCTTCCTTCTTTGGACAAGCTGAAAAGACGTCAGCAAGAGAACTTTAATCAAATTCAAATTGATACATGAAAATATAGGCTATCTTTTCTGGAAAAAATTACAGATACAAAAAACTAAGTAGTATGGACTGTGGCACATAAACATTAAGTAGATTGCATTGTAAGCACATACAAATAACACACTGCATATCTGTTGTTTACAGATCCAGGATGAGAAGACATAGAAGCAGCAGCTAGCTGAACAGCTGTAAAATGCCCAGATCTGGGTTCCCAAAACCAGTTCAGAGTGAAAATTCTGACAGTGACAGCAATATGGTAGAGAGGCCATACGGAAGAAAGGTACTCTTCGGAATCTGGGTAAAAGACTCCCAATTTAGTATTTTTAGTAATTACTCAGGAAATGTCACGTGGGTATCAAACGTGTGGGTTTGTGAGCATGTGAGTACAGGTGCCCTCTGAGTCCAGGAGTGGCAGCCCAGTCTCCCGGAGCTGAAGGTGCTGCCAGCTGAGCAGTGTGGGTGCTCGGAACCAAACCCAGGTCCTCTGCAGCAGTAGTGCCTGCTCTTAACCACGAGGCCACCTTTCCAACCCTAGAGTTTCTCTAGTAAGGAGCCATCTTTACACTGTGTCGGGGTAAATCATGTTTTGTTAATTTTTAAGAACAGGTTTAAATTTTTTAATTTATATAAATGTATGCCACAAGTGTGTGGGTACCCTTGGAGGCCAGAGAAGGGTGTCAGCCTGAAGCTGCATTGGCAGGCACTTAAAGCTGTCACATGTCAGGGTAGAAATGAAGTTGGGTCCTCTGGAAGAGTAGTAGTACAGGCTCATTACTGTGGAGTCATCTTTCAAGCCCCAGGGGTTATTTTCTGATGACATTGAATTTGATTTGACAGTTGTCAAATTTTTATATTTCCTCATACTATAATTTTCTGTTGGGGCTTTTTAAATATCAGATTTATTTATTTTAGACCTGTAAAATGGTTGGATAGCTGGGTGTTGGTGGCGCACGCCTTTAATCCCAGCACTCAGGAGGCAGAGGCAGGTGGATCTCTGTGAGTTTGAGGCTGGCCTGGTCTACAGAGCGAGTGCCAGCGTAGGCTCCAAAGCTACACAGAGAAACCCTGTCTCGAAAAAACAAAAAACACAAAAAAAAAAAAAAAGGAAGGAAGGAAAAAAAAAAGGTTGGATAGATCCTGATTTTATTTTTATGTTTTTGTATTGTTTGTATAAAATAGGCAATACCTGTTCCTTGAGTTTTCTTGTTTAAATTCTTGTAAAATCATGGAAGGGAGCCATTCTTTTCTTCTGTTGCTGTTACCGTTTGTCGTCACAGCATATAGGTATGGAGGTCAGAGGACAACGTGTGGGGTCCGTTCTGTTCTTCCACCATGTGTGTCCCAGGAATCACAGTTAGGTCTCCAGCCTCAGTCACAAGCACATTTACTGTTGAAGAATCTGGTCAGCCCATATGTGCCTTTGTAAACAAATCTTTGACCATAGATTTATTGTCTTGTGTGGTCAAGATGTATTCCAGCTTTCTTTTCCTTTTCATTACCCCCTTTTCTATTTTGGTCCCTCCCTCCCTCCTTTCCTCCCTCCCTCCCTCCTTCCGTCTCTGTCTCTCTTTCTCTCTCTCCTTTGTTTTTTTGAGACAGGATCTCTATGTAGCACTGGCTCTCTTAAAACATTATGTAGACCAGGCTGGCCTGGAACTCAGAAATCTACCTGCCAAGTACCAGGATTAAAGGCATATGCCACTATACTTGGTTTCATTGCCCAGTTTTTAGTGATGCATATTTTCTAGAAAATTATGCATTATTCTAGGCTTTAAGGTTTTTATTGATATAAATTAGAAATAATAGTCTTTTGTAATTTTGTTATTCTCTTGGCTTACATTTCAGCTCAGTTCTAATGATTAACATTTTCTTTTCTCTCTTTGTCTCTGGTTCTTCTCCCCCCCTCCTCTCCCCTCCCCTCTCCTCTCTTCCCCACTCCCTTCCTTCCCCTCTCTTCTTTACATGTTTATTCATTGTAACATATCTATATTGCTTTGTTATATTCAAGATATTTTAGTGTTGCTTAAATTTTCTATTGCAATGAAATATCTTGGGAAAATGTTATAATTAATTCAGGTGTGGTGGCTCACACCTATCATCTTAGTTCTTGGGAAGCTGCAGTAGGAGAGTTACTGTAATTTTGAGGCCAGCCTTCCCTATATAGCGAGATCTTGTTTGAAAAAAGTAGTGGGTTGAGGGATGTCTTAATTCAGGTCACTATTGATGTCATGAAACATCATGACTAAAGGTGGCTTGGGAGGAAAGGGGGCATAGTTGTATATAACAGTTCATCAAAAACTACTGAGGGCTGGAGCCTGGAGGCAGGAGCTGATGCAGAGCCCATGGAGGAGGGCTGCTTAATGCTTGCTCCTCATGGCTTTCCCAGCCTGCTTTCTTGTAGAGCCCAGGACCAGCAGCCCAGGGATGGCACCACCCACAATGGGCTGGGCTCTCCTCTACCAGTCACTCATTAAGAAAATGCCCTACAGCTGCATCTTATGGCGGCATTTTCTCCCTTGAAGCTCCCTCCTTTTAGATGACTCTAGCTTTTGTTAAGTTAACATAAAACTAGTCAGCACAAGGGAGATTTAATTGTTGAAGTTCTGTATTAAGTCATTAAATACATTAACCCATTAAATAAATGGGTTATAATATGTTTTCATGTTTTAAAAATTCCTTAACAGAGGATTTAAAAAGTATATAGTCAGTGTGTGTGTGTGTGTGTGTGTGTGTGTGTGTGTGTGTATGCGCGCGCGCGCGCGTGCGTGCGCGCGCACTCCTGCTTGCACAAGCCACTATGTGCAGTGCCTGTGGAGGTCAGAAGAGGACATTGGGTCCCTGGAAACTGGAGACTCAGACTTCTGTGAGCTGGGAACTGAACCCTGGTGCTCCGTAAGAGCAACAAGTGCTCTTGATTTCCGAGCCATCCGTCCAGCCCAAATAATAGAGAATTCAATTTAAAGTTCCATGTGATTTACCTAATATTGTTATAATTTTATTTATCTTTGACTTTTTTAAAAAATAGAGTAAAGACAAGATTGCATCTTACAGCAAAACTTCAAAAATTGACCGAGGTGATATAGGCAAGGAAATGAAAGAGAAACCGTCCATGAAACGAAAACTGCCTTTTACCATCAGCCCATCAAGAAACGAGGAGCGAGACTCAGACACAGGTAGAATAATTTGTTTCTTGATAAACTAACTCAGCATATTCTTAACTGATTTCTTTTTGCTTTTCTGTGTACCATTCCTCTTGACATTTTTGGTTCATAGAAAAATACTAAGTATTTCAGATTTATCATGGGGGCAGAAGTATATCCAAACTATGGTTTCTAATAGATTAAAAAAAAAAAAAAACAAATTTCTATATCCCTTACTTTGAATGTTTACTATAAATCTTTTAACATGTTCAGAAGTTAGTTTTGGGGGTTCATTTCACTAATGAAATTGTCCAGTAAGACAAACATTAAGATTTTGTATATATGAGAAAAAGGTGTTGGACACAGCAAAGAAGTTAGGTATTCTTGATTCACAAATGAATTAAAATATGTAGTGTCTCCTAAATGAGGCTAATGGCTTTATTCATAGTTCTTTCATGATATCAGGGCCACCAGATGGGCATAAGGCTACCGAGCTTTTGACCTAGATTCAGTCCCAGGGATCTATACAGTAGAAGGAGAGAGCTGACTCTCCAAAAGTTGTCCTTCAACCCCCACATATGTGGCATGGGACTCAGGGTGGGTGTCCTAGTGTTCTGTTTCTGTGAAGAGACACCATGACCACAGCAACTCTTATAAAGAAAGCATTTAATTGGAGCTTTGGAAGTTTAGTCCAAGCATGGAAGTGCACAGGCAAACAGAGTGTCGGAGAAGTAGCTAAAAGTTCTACATCTGGACCCTCAGGTAGCAGGAAGACAGAGACTCTGGGCCAGTCACGGGCTTCTTATCACCTCAGAGCCCACCCCAAGTTTCACACCTCCTCATCTTTTCATACAGTGCCACTCCCTGGTGACCACATCTATGAACTTGTGAGGCCATTTTCATTCAAACCACCACAGGGACCACAGGGCATGAGTGCTTGAGCATGCTTGTGTTTGTGTGCTTACCCACTTGTGTGTGCAACTGTGTGTTTGTGTGAGAACCCTCATGTGTGTGCAAATGTACATTTATGTTTGCACACGCAAGCTCGCTCGAGTGTTCACACACACTAACATGCACATGAGTACAAGTGCTTGTGGAGGCACAGGATGGTCCCAAAGTTGTAGAGGGTATTAAATTTTGTGAATGAAGCTGTCTCTGTCTGCCAGCCTTAGAAATTCATCTTTCAAGACAATGTGGAGAGATAACATGTCTTACAGGATGAGTGTGCGTGTGTGTGTGTGAGTGTGCGTGTGTATGGGAGTATATGCATATGAGTGAGTGTATCTATGTGACGGTGTGTGTGTGATGAAAACAACTATTTTGGGAGAAGAAAGGAAGAACAAAGGATAAGGGAGAAGATGAGCCATCACTTTCATCTTTAGAACATAAATTTAAAGACAGGCACATGTTTGGGCATTGGTGGCGCACGCCTTTAATCCCAGCACTCGGGAGGCAGAGGCAGGCGGATCTCTGTGAGTTTGAGGCCAGCCTGGTCTCCAGAGCGAGTGCCAGGATAGGCTCCAAAGCTACACAGAGAAACCCCGTCTCAAAAAACAAACAAACAAATAAACAAACAAAAGACAGGCACATGTTTCTGTGACTTAGAAGTGATAGAGGGGAGATGATAGGGTCATGGAGAACAAATAAAGGGGGAGGGGCAGGAAGGGCCAGTAGACAGTGGGAGGGTGGATATGAGCAAGACATGGCATTGCTTGGGAGGCAGAGGCAGAGGCAGAGGCAGGTGGGTCTCTCAGTTAAGAGGGCAGCCTGGTCTAGATAGTAAGTTCCAGGCCATCAGGGGCTACATGGTGTTGCCTTGTCTCAAAAATTATTAAATGCATAATGAAGCCAGATAGTCTATGGAGCCTTTTAAAGCTCTGCTCATTTTATGTGACATGTCAGATAATGTTTATGTAATTCCTATAGTTGTTCGGTTGAATGTGTTTAGTTTTGAAATATGCATGCTCATCGGAAGTCCTGACACTGAGTCAGCTCCTCAACTTGCTTTGCATTTGGTTAAAAGTTATTTTATTAATGAGCCCCTTTTCTTGAATGAACCTCTCATTACTAAACTTAAAGGTTTAACTTTTCCATATATTGTATTTTGTGATCAACTGTTCTCTAATTTTTTTCCTCAACACTTGATCTGTCATACTTAGCTAAAGTCACTAACCCTGTGGATAATAATGACTCTGGAAAGGAGCATAGGTGTCAGTACACCGAGGCTGCGACTATAGTATAATAACTTGTGAGTTACATGGCTTATTATTTAAAAGTAAAAGCTGCTCTAGTTGTATCATCAGAGTTATAAATTGTTACGCAGAAATCTGTACTCTTAACCTAGATTATAAGCTGATGGTTTTGGATGGTCAACGAGGTAGTAACTCCTGGCTCTGGGAATGAGTACACTCTGTGGTCTGGAACGATACTGAAGTCCTAGATATTCTTTTGTCTTTGGAGTAATTTTGGCCTTCATAAAAAATGAGTTTGATTCAACTCACTCAAAGACAAATTCTAAACAGAAAATCAGTGGTGAGAACATTGTCTCATATTGGCAGAGTTTAAAAAAATAACATCAAGAGAGCTATGCTTAAATAAGCAATGTAATGATGTTATTGATTACATTTCTGAACTTTAAGGTACTCTACCTAGGAAGCTGAAATGTTACATGTTGGACACTGCATTTTAAATGTCCTTTGTTCTTCCAGAATACTATTGTTGAGATTAAGCCAGTGATACATCATTGCCTAATTAACTGCTGGTGATCTTTTTAAAACGTTGCTATGTTGAATTCTGCATTTCCTTTCGTATGCTTTTTTTCTTTTCTCCTGTCTCTTTTCATTCTATAGATTCAGACCCAGGACATACAAGTGAAAATTGGGGGGAGAGACTTATCTCTTCTTACAGGACATACTCAGGTAATTAGATTATCAGAGGTTCCTCTTCAGCCAGTGGTTTTGTCGTGTTTATTTGAGTAGTGTACTATAAGTAACTATTTTCAAACCAGTTTATAGATGTCTTTGCTAAATTAAATGAGTTAAATGAATCCAGCAAAATTTTCAGCTTCAGACCCCTTCCTAAAAGAGGGCATCCATGCTCCTTGGTCTGCTTTGTTGTAAATCCTTCCCAAGTGTACTAGTTTTGATAGACGGTGTTATCATACTTGTTTAGTCATGTGATTTCTTCTTTAAAACAGATATTTAAAAATATTACTCATTGAATTCTGCAGTGTTTATTGATTTTTGCTTCACAGGTAGAATTTAACCATAAGTGTATTAAAATATGGGGTCACCTAGACAAATCCCTTACCATTAACTGTGTTAGAACTTCTCTCATTAGTTGGAGCTCCAGTTGTTTGGGATCCATAATTACTCTAAATAAAGAATATAGGAGAAACTCCCTTATTTTAAAATAAAGAATAGGGCTGGAGAGATGTCTGAGAGGTTAAGAGCACTAGCTGCTCTTCCAAAGGTCCTGAGTTCAATTCCCAGCAACTATATGATGGCTCACAACCATCTATAATGAGATCTGGTTCCCTCTTCTGGCCTGCAGGCATTCATGCAGGCAGAACACTGTATACATAGTAGTAAATAAATAAATCTTTTTTAAAAAAATAAAGAATAGAACCTAGTTGTTTGTTTTTGAGAGAAGGTCTCACTGTGTAGCTCTGGCTAGCCTAGTACTCTTTGTAGACCAGGCTGGACTCAAACTCACAGAGATCTGCCTGCTTCCGCCTACCAAGTGCTGGGATTATAAAGTGCTCCAGCATGCCCGGCAAGACTAGTTGTTTTGGTTGATCTTTTCTTTCTTCTTAAAAGTCGACTGGCGTGACTAAAATGAAAATCTTGTGTAGTCCCTGATTTTTAGTGTATGATACTTAGCTATAGAAATTGAATATTAACTTTCTGTTTCTATAATGTGCATCTTACTTATCTTATAATTTTGGGGGCCTGTCTGGAGACGCTAAAGAACTAATTTCATCCTTAAAGTTACGCTGCAATCATTGGGTTGATAAGTTCCTGGTGACAGGGTTTCCTGTGTTTAAAGTTTTGGCACGTTAGAACAAATGAGTATGTGTTTTAGTTACCGAGAACTGGAGTGCTCGGCTGAGATCCAGCTCCTTGGCTGAGCTATTACACAGCAAGTGTGAAATTCCTGAATTGGAGGGGCTGGAGAGATGGCTCAGAGGTAAAGAGCACTGACTGACTGCTCTTCCGAGGACCCGGGTTCAATTCCCAGCACACCCCCATGACAGTTCACAACTGTCTGTAACTCCAAGGTCTGACACCCTCACACAGACATACATGCAGGCAAAACACCAATGCAAACAAAATAAAAATTAATTTAAAAAAATCCTGGATTGGTCTCCACAAACAAGCAAAAAGCCCTGAGAGCTGTCTAGCTCCTTTCAGACAGACAGTTAGCATCCTTTTCTAGTTTTTGACCAGTCAAATGAGGGATTCACAGGATAGATCCCGTATAGTCTTATTGATGGTTTCAAATTTTACAAATAGGTAGATACATTGTTGCAGGTTTTAGACCCAAGTGCTCAGTAGATGAAGTCAAAAAGGTTGCAATTTGGAGATTGGTTAAACCAGACCATATAGTATAGTCCTGTCTCCAAAACAAAAAAGCCACACACAAAAAAATTGAAAATAAAGAATAAATTTTAAATAAAAACTTTGAAATATTATAGTTTAATACTTAGCAATTAAAAAAAAATGTAATTGTCTCAATTTAGCTATTTATACCAGCCATTATTCAGTTCACTTTCTTTTCCTAGTTCATGTAAAATGTAAATTCAGGAAAAATGATTATGATAATTTAGAGTATTGAATGCAACTGTAAAATATTTGTTAAAATATTTGGAATACATCTGACTTGTCTTTTTCTGAAGTAATTACATATTTGATCATTTGGCAATATGTCTTTTCTGTAACCCAGGTATATACACTTTAGAATGTCATCTCTGTGTGTGTGGTTGGGGAGAGGCAAGGTCTCACTATGTAGCTCTGGCTGATCTAGAACTCTGTAGACATGGCTGACCTTTAACTCAGAGACATCTACCTGTCTCTGCCTCCCTAGTGCTGGGATTAAAAGTGTGCATCACCACGTACAGTGTGGTGGTTTTTTAAATTATATTAAAATGCCTAGTTTTTCAAGTAGTATAAGCAAAGCAGCCAGGTGTGGTAATCCACACCTGTGATCCTAGCACTCCGGAGGCTAAGGTGTGTGGTCACAGGTTTGAGGTCAGCCTAAACTACAAAGCAAGAACCTGTCTCAGAAACCACAGGAGGTAGGCACTGGCCGGGCTCTATTCTTGTGCCAGGTTCTACTTCTTTCCTTAGATGGATTCTCAACTTTCTACTAAATGTTCATATCTTACATATTTTGATTCTAGGAGAGAAAGTGACTATATTTAAAATTGTTGTCAGATGAAAAGCCATTGAGAGCAGCAGTAGTTGTTCCTCCCTAAACGTTAGAAAACAAAGAGAATTATTAAGACGAAGAATCTTTATTTCAGGGGGAAAGTGCTCTCCAAAGATGTCTTTAGGGCTTTATAATAGCTTTAGTGATGGCTTAGATGCTGTGCTAGCTTAGATTTATGTGAAATCAGTTCATTACTGATGATCGTGCAGGAATGATGGAAATGAAAGATAGACATATTAACAAGGGTGATTTTTTTTTTTTAAATAAATCTTGAAATATTTGGTTTTGTTTGGAAAAATCAGTCATTCAACCTGTGGGCATGTTAGGGATTCATAGAATGATTTGAATCATTTGTGAGCAACAAAGCAACAAAGTTTAAAGTATTATGACCTTATTTTTTCTAGACCATTAATTACAATACCAGTTTTTTCTGATTAACTGGAGAGGGCACACTGGACCAATTATTAACTTGTGACTATTGATAATATTAGATTTTAATTGATTTCTTAAAACTTGCTAGGTTTACAACTATTTAACTTTTGCTAATTTCAATTTTTTTTTGCAACTCCTTGTTTTGGGGGACCTCTAAACCTGAATTTTAAATTCCAGAAATAAATCAGGCATTTGACTCACTTGTACCTGGTGCCTGAATTAATTCAGGTGAATTTCTAAAAGAAAAAGACATCTGTATCTTGCATCTGTACCATCCAGTGCAGCCTGAGCCCCTTACATATAACTGGGCATACTTGCTGCATGGCTGGAGGGTCTTCTGAACTGCTACAGTTGACCTTTGTGGTTGGTTGGATCTCTTTGAGAAGGACTTTGGAAATTTCTGGATCTTTGCAGGATAGGTATTAACTCCTAGCCACACAGAATCTTTAGTTTGTTCATGTTTAGCTTTGATTGGTGTCATTCCATGTTCAGTTTTCCAGTCACTGCAGTGAAATGATTTGGTGGCTTTTCTTCAATGATTGTTTTGTGTGTTGAGACAAGTCTTAAATGCTTAGCCTCTTGCAAGAATGTACAAGTCCTTGCTAGAATTAGAGTGACAGTTGTAAGGCTCATTGGTATGTAGGCTTAGCAGCAGTACTAGACACTGTGTGAAAGAGAAGTTTCAAAGATGGAATACGCTTGGCTTTTTGTCCACAGAGTCAACTGATCACAGATAAAAATACTTAGGGAAAAAAACCCTAAGAATGTTTTTTCTTGTCATTATTCCCTAAATAATCCAGCAGTATAACAACTTTTTCATAGCTTTATATAATATTCCGTACTATAAGTAATTTAGACATAATTCAGAGCATATGGGAGGAGTCACATGGGTTATATACAAATCCTGGACCATTTTATCTGAGAGACTTGAGCACTTGCATGTTTTATTACCCATAGGAAGTCCTGGAAACAATCCTAGAGATATCAAGGGACAACTCTAATAAGGATTATTTGAAGTGTTGTTAAAGATATTATACTTTAATAGAACAAATGTCAAAATTAAAATGTTCCCAGTAGCAAAATTTCCTAACAATACAATCAAGAATATATTTTTCTAGAGCTTTCAGAAAAATCTTACTTACATAAGTCTAGTGGGCTCCACTAGTGTACACACATCGTCTGTATGCATGCATAGCATCTGCCGAAGAAGTTGTCTTGAGGACTTACATTCTTTTCTGATTCTCACACATTTATTCCTCATTACAGAGAAAGAAGGTCCAGAAAAGAAGAAAACAAAAAAAGAAGCTGGAAGTAAGAAATCCACCCCAGTTAGCATCCTTTTTGGTTACCCACTCTCTGAACGGAAGCAGATGGCACTTGTAATGCAGATGACAGCAAGGGACAACAGTCCAGGTGATTGACATCTACAGTCATTGAGTTAATGTCTTCTTAGTTGGCCTAGAGTCAGGGTAGCCTTCTTTTTACTAATTTGAGTTTTTATCCATCTTGAATTTAATCAGCATTATTCATAACATCAGCTTTTAATTTTCTCATTGTTTGCATGACACTTTATTATTTATTGTATTCTTCAGTGGATTGCAAGATCTATAAGAGGAGTCCTTTATATACGTACTGGGCATTAATTAAATAGTTGTTAAATGAAACAAGTGATTGAAATTGAATAACCAGCTTGAAACATTTTTAAGTGGGATCCTATGTTTTTGAAGAACACTTGTGTTAAGATTTAAATTTTTTAGAAAATTATTTTTTAAAAGATTTGTTTATTTTATGTTCATTGGTGTTTTGCCTGCATGTATGTCTATGTCAAGATGTCAGATTGGAGCTACAGACAGTTGTGAGCTGCCATGTGGGTGCTGGGAATTGAACCCAGGTCTTCTGGAATAGCAGCCATCTCTCCAGCCCAGAAAATTATTTATTTTCTATGAATGTGTGCATGCCTTAGTATATGTGTATGCCAGAGCGTTTGTGTGCACCGCATGCGAGAGCCTCTGGGGGTTAGAAGAGGGTATCAGGCCAGGTAGTGGTGATGCACACCTACAGAGTGAGTTCCAGGATGGCCAGGGCTTCAAAAACAAAATGAGCGAGATCCTTTTGAGTTACAGACTGTTGGGAGCTGCAAGTGTGTGCTGGGATCTGAACCCAGGTCCTATGCAGGAGCAGCGAGTGCTCTAACCACTGAACCATCTCTCCAGCACTCGTTTATAAAAATAGAACCTGCTGTTTTATTTGCTCTTTTGGGTTTTTTGTTTGTTTTGGTTTATCAAGATAGAGTTTCTCTATATTGCTTTGGAGGCTGGAACTCGCTCTGTAGACCGGGGCAGCTTGGAACTCAGAGAGATCCACCTGCCTCTGTCTCCCGAGTGCTAGGATTAAAGGCGTGCACCACTAATGCCCAGCTAGAACCTGCTGTTTTGATTACTTCCATTGTTTTTTTTTTAACCTTTGTCTCTCCTATTGGAGGCCTTGTACTCTGTAACGTAGGTGTTTGAGCGTTTATTCATCTATGGTGTACATGTGTGCACACGCCTGTGTACATGTGGTCACAGGACAGCTTGTGGAATTGCTTGTCACGTAGAGGCTGGGGTTGACCTCAGGTTGTTAGAGTTGGGTTGACCTCAGGTTGTTAGAGTTGCTGTTGAGCACTTTCATCCCTGAGACACTGCATTGTTCACCATTGAGTGTCTGTCATGAGCCTGGTAAAGACTTGTTAAAGCCCTAAAGTTTTCTTCACATCCTCAGTGCCTGTCCCCACCATAGCCAGCCCATCACTGGGTGTCTCATTCCATACTCGGGCTTTCTGGGCATCAACACACCATCAGTTTTGTCTTGTCTTGTCTTTGCTGTGTATGCCAAGTGAGGCAGCCAACTGCTAAGCTGGGTCCTCAGGCTTGTTTTTAACCTTTAGTTTGAGACAGGATCTTGACAAATTGTCCATGCTGACCTTGAACACTATAGCCAAGCCAGACCTTTGACTGGCAATTCTCCTGCCTCAATCAGTCTTGTGGTTAGAGTTTAAGGCTGACAGCTTCATCCAGTGATGGGTCCTTTAGTTTATGAGAAAGTCAAATAGTTCATTTCCTTAAACATTTTGAATTCCAATGTGTACCCGAAGTCTTTTAAGTATTTGAGAGTGATGGTGCTGAGTAAGGTAAGGTTCTTACTCGTAATGAGTCAATGATTTAGAATAACTAAATGAAGAAGCTGTGGGGGAGATGCTTTACTTGAAGTCCCAAAAGTGAACCTTTGCTTTTTCTGTCTCGGGAAGGGTCTGATGCTTTAGATAGAGCTCAGGCTGTGCTGTCTCCCAAGACTGATGAGGAAAACTACATTCTGTAATAGACTTTGTTCCCCCTTAGAGCAAGTGTTGAAGTACTTGTATGTTTTCAAAAGTGATTGCTTAAGAACCCATCTTTTTTACCTAGTGGTTCTGAAATTGGTGGGGTTAGGGTAGAAGGCTTTTTTTTTTTTTTTTTTTTTGGTTTTTCGAGACAGGGTTGCTCTGTGGCTTTGGAGGCTGTCCTGTAACTAGCTCTTGTAGACCAGGCTGGTCTCGAACTCACAGAGATCCACCTGCCTCTGCCTCCTGAGTGCTGGGATTAAAGGCGTGCGCCACCAACGCCCGGCTTTTGAGATTGTTCTTTAATTACATTTCTCCTTACCCGTCCTCCCTCCAAACCCTCCCATATACACCCCTACCTGCTGTTCTTCAGCGTCATGGGCTCTTTCTTCAGCAGTTAGTACATATCACTTGCACGCGCCGGTGTGTATGTGTGTGTGCGCGCATGTGCGCTCGCGCTCTGAAATATACCCATTGAGTCTATATAATGTAACTTGTATATATGGCTGACTATGTGGCAGTGGACAGCCAGTTGGTATGCGCTTTGCCTGGGGAAGGCCCCCTCTCCTGCTCCTAGCTTGACTCAGTTGCCTGTGGTTCTTTGTATAGGGTTGATCTGATAGGGTCTTCAGATCTTCATCCAGTTGGGCATGTTCATTGGTGTCCTTGCTCAGCTCACAGTTCGGTGGTCATGCTGGTGAGACTTTATGGGTGTAGCATCTGATGTTACCAGGAAACACAGTCTCACAGCAAAGTCCCTGACTCTCTGACTCTTAGAATCATTCTGCCCTCTTCCTCAGTGTTCCCTGAACCTTAGGAGTGGAAGAGTTTTGTAGGTGTGTCCATTGGGACTGCAGTTCCCAACTCTGCATTTTGATTGGTTGTGGTTTCCTGTAGTGTTTTCCTTGATAAGAGTTAGAAACTATACTTAATCTGGAATGTAAGGACAAATGTTTATAGATTGTTATTAGGGGTTATGTTGGCTTACTAAATAAGTGGTTGTAGATTCTTCCCCAGTAACCATGTTTTCACTAGTACTAATTAGTTAGCTAGATTTCCAGTACAAGGTATGACCTCCTTCTTGTTAAATGGGTCTTTCTTAAGTCCAGCTAGAGAGATGTTGGTTACTGCCAAGGTGTGTGTGAGCCGCTACTGCACTGGTAGAGTTACGGTGTCATGCTGGTGGTTGGTGTGATTCGTGGGTGATAGGGAACTTGTGTGAACTGTCTTCTTTCTTACAGATTCTACACCAAGTCATCCCTCACAAGCAACACCAGCCCAGAAGAAGACGCCCAGTTCTTCATCTCGACAAAAAGATAAAATTAATAAAAGAAATGAACGTGGTGAAACTCCTTTACACATGGCTGCTATTCGAGGAGATGTGAAACAAGTCAAAGAATTAATAAGTTTAGGGGCAAATGTGAACGTGAAAGACTTTGCAGGTGAGACCTTAGTAACGCTAATACCCAGGAGCCAAAGGCAGAACGTCTTGGCTATAATTTTAAAACTGTATTTTACTCAGAACTTGATGTATGTATAAAACCTTGATCTCTGCTACATTTCTACGTCAACAATTACTCAGATTTTTATGTATACAACATATATACTGTTGTGCCACTTGGACTCTGGTGTCCTGTTCATTTCACACATCTTTCTATATTACTGTGTAATTATATAAATTAGTTTTTATTTTAGGTATATTTGAGCATTTATAAGAATGTTTATTAACTTGAACACGAGGATCATAAGAGAGTAGTAATTATCTTTTTTTTTTTTCTCAAGACTGGGTTTCTCTGTTAGTTCAGCCTGTCCTGGAACTAGCTCTTGTAGATCGGGCGGGTCTCGAACTCACAGAGACCCCCCTGCCTCTGCCTCTACCTCCCAAGTGTTGGGATTAAGGGTGTACGCCACCAACACCCTGCTTATCTTTTCTTTTTTACAAGACATATTAACATTATCAGTGTGTTTGGGAAAGTAGGACACAATAGTGCCACAGCATGCACGTGGGAGCCAGAGGACAGCGTGGGGTCCACCCTCCCCTCTCCTTCCACCTCATGTGGGCGCCTCTGGTCTCCAGGCTTTCCCTGCTGAAGCCTCTTGCCAGCTCTATTGCTTTTAATTACCCATGTAGCATAATTCTTCCACTCTTAAGAATGCAGACAGCCAGCCAGGCGTTGGTGGCGCACTCCTTTAATCCCAGCACTTGGGAGGCAGAGGCAGGTGGATCTCTGTGAGTTCGATACCAGCCTGGTCTACAAGAGCGAGTGCCAGGATAGGCTCCAAAGCCACAGAGAAACCCTGTCTCGAAAAAAAACAAAACAAAAAAAGAGCATGTGAAATAGAGAATCCTACTTAAGTGCACTTTTCTAGCTGCCAGTGGCTGCAGGCAGATGTGATTTCACATAGGATGCTCTTCTTGCCTTCCCGATACACCTTTCTCTTCCACAAAATTATTAACAATGTGGAAATTTTCATGATGAGACATAAAAATTAACATTCACATAATTGTACATAGAGCTTTTGTTTTTGTTTTCGTTTTTCAAGGCAGAGTTTTGTAACGATAACTCTTTCCGGCAGCCGCCCAGTCCCGCTGCCACATTAGGCCCCCAAATAACACACAGTCTACTCTTAGTTACAACAGTAACTAAGTTATCTTAGTAAGCCAATGGCGAGGATTTCTTATTTGCTAGCTGTGTCTTAAGTATCAACCATAACCATTAATCTATATATTTTATAAAGACTTATCTTATGGAGGACACCGGCCTTAGCATCCTATCTTCCTGGGATCACATGGTGACTCCCCCTCTCTACTACATTTCCCAGAATCCTCCTTGACTCCTAGCCCCACCTATCTTGCTTCCCTCTTGGCCATCAGTGCTTCATTTATCAACCAATAAGACAAACATATACACAGAAGGACTTCCCTCATCAGAGTTTCTCTGTGGCTTTGGAGCCTGTCCTAGAACTCCCTCTATAGACCAGATTGCCCTTGAACTCACAGAGATCCATCTGTCTCTGCCTCCCTAGTGTTGGGATTAAAGGTATGTGCCACCACTGTCTAGCTATATGTAGACTTTAAAAGAAACAACCTGAAATCATTCTTTCTGTATCTATAATTCTGTGTGGCAGGTGTGTGTATGTGTTTCATTTTTAATAGCTTCCTATTTTATAGTTAGCCTTTTGTTTTGTTTTGTTTTGTTTTGTTTGAGACACAGTTTCTCTATGTAGCCATGGCTGTTCTTGAATATGTTTTGTAGACCAGGATGGCCTCAAACTCACAGAGATACACTTACCTCTGCCTCCTGGGTTAAAGACATGTGCCTGGCTGTTCTTCAGCAGTACCATAGTGAACATTCTTTTAGAAATGTATTTGTACATAGTCATGAAGTATTTTAGTAAAATTGAAATTACTGTATTAAAGGAGATGCACATTATATATTATTTTAAATAATGCCAGCTTATCTACCAAAAGTTATGTATCCATCAGTTTATGTCTCCAAGTGTATATGAAAGCCAAGCAAAATGGTATACACCTGTCAATCCCAGCAGTTTGGGAGACCAAGGCAGGATTGCAAACATGAAGCTGGTCTCAGCTACATAGAGAGTTCAGACCCGCTCTCAACAACCAAAAAGTATATGAAGCAGTACTTTTCTTCATGTTTTCATTAGAATTGGATATTATCACACCCATAATTTCAACACTTTGGATGCAGAAGCAAAAGGGTCTCTATAGGAGAGGAGGTGGGGAGTGTGGGAGGGAAGGGGATAACAGGGCAAGAGACATTGATCTTTCTAGAGGAGTAATGCTTTTTATCTACCTAGAACATACTTTTATTGTTTGTCTGAAATTCCACATTTACAAATTTATTTTAAAACATAATCTGAGACATGTATAAAAATTGAGTAAGGGATAATATTGAAGCATTTCTTTTTTAATTAAAAACTAGCAGTAAGCCAGTTTCCTAGGCTGGGGACTTGTAAAAATAACTAATAGTTTATTCAGTCAGTTGATACTGTGTCCTGCCCAGGTACTTGTGACTCCAGGGCTCAGGAAGATCCTGAGATGACTGAAGACATAGTATGTTCTAGAAAAGCATAACAATAAAAGCAAATACAGAGCCGGGTGGAGAGGCAGTGGGGGCACAGGCTTTAATCCCATCACCCGGGAGGCAGAGGCAGAGGCAGAGGCAGGTGGATCTCTGAGTTCGAGGCCAGCCTGGTCTGCAGAGTGAATGCCAGGACAGCCAGGGCTACACAGAGAAACCCTGTGGGGGCAGGAGGAGGCCAGATAAAAGGACCACCACCTCAGAGAAAGGATTAAATACCTGTAGCAAGCTTCCTTATAGTAATATCTTTGGCCCACCAGCCTGCAAATAATAACCCAGAGACACGTTATTAATTATGAAAGTCTGGCCTTAGCTTAGGCCTTTTTCCAACTAGCTTTTATAACTGAACTAACCCATATTTTTTATAATCTAGCCATGTGTCTTGTTTACCTCTTCTTAGTGCAGCACTTGCTTCGAGTCTGCTGGCAAAATCACACCTAGGTTCCTCCTCCCAGTTTCTCCCCCCCCCCCCCCCCCCCCCCCCCCCCCCCCCCCCCCTCCCCCCCCCCCCCCCCCCCCGTCTTCTCTCCTGCCTAGCTGTTAGCCATGTAGCTCTTTATTAAACCTATCAGAAGGTGCCTTAGGCAGAGATACAACTTTACAGTATAAAGAAACATGCCATAACAAACATCCATCCTTGTTTATGAATATGAGGGAAGCTGGTAAGAATTACATGAAGTTGGGGACTGGAGAGATGGCTCAGAGGTTGAGAGCACTGACTGCTCTTCCAGAGGTCCTGAGTTCAGTTCCCAGCAACCACATGGTGGCTCACAGCCATCCGTAATGAGATCTGATGCCCTCTTCTGGTGTGCAGGCAGAACCACTGTATATATACTAAATAAATTAATCTTAAAAAAATACTTGAAAATTTAAAAACTATTATACTTGGGTGATAGGATTACAGTGTTGTTTGTGTTTTTTAATGTTTCTAATATTTCATTTGTGAATACTTTTAATTTGAAAACAGTGACAAATGTATTTTTTAAAAGCAATATTGTCTAGAAAAGATACCAACATAAGACCATATAAAACATAAAAATTTATATAAAACATACTGACTCTTAATCAAAGTTACTCATATTTTGCCTCTTTTTTCTATTTTTGAGAGAGAGAGAGAGAGAGAGAGAGAGAGAGAGAGAGAGAGGGTTTCTCTGTGTAGCTTTGGAGCTGGCATGCCTCTGTAGACCAGGCTGGCCTTGAACTCACATATATCTGCCTGCCTGTGACTTCTGAGTGCTGGGATTAAAAGCATGCACCACCAACGCCCAGCCATTTTTCTATAATTTTGATGATTATAAATTAAGCCAGATTAATACTGAATACAGTTAGCATTTTACCAAATAATTTAGTTCCATTGAAACTAATATTCCTTCGAGTGAACCTTCTTAAAATTGATGGTTTATTTTAGTTTCTTACTCATTCCCTTTTATTTCTGTATCATGTTTTATTTAGAATATGGAAAGCATATATCTTGAACTCTTGTTAAATTCCTATCCTCACTTTAGGTTGGACACCTTTACATGAAGCGTGCAATGTTGGATATTATGATGTTGCTAAAATACTTATAGCAGCGGGAGCAGATGTTAATACCCAAGGATTAGATGATGACACCCCCCTGCATGACTCTGCCAGCAGTGGCCACAGAGATGTGAGTATGGTGAAGAGGCCACTGGTGTGTGTGTACCCTGACAACCAGGGATGACTGAGCAGACCTTTTAGTTGCCTGACCTTGAATTTCAGTCATTGCTTCATCACTTTATCTGTATTTTGTTGTCTCTCCCCCCCATTTTCTGCCTTCTAATTTTATTTAATTTGATTTAGCACTATTTTTTCATAAAATAAACCGTGTTCAGCCAGGCGTGGCAGTGCACATTTTTAATCCACTTGAGGGCAGAGACTGGCAGATCTCTTGGAGTTTGCAATCATCCTGGTCTACATACTGAGAGACCAGCGAGTGAGTCTCAAAAGAACTAACTCCCTGAAAAGAAAAAATAGGTTATTTACTTAGTATCAACATTTTATTACAATGCTTTCATCTGTCAGATAGATGGAAGATGGTTGGGACACAAAGCAGAAGTTATGGTGCTCTGCTGCATATCTTTTTAAAAGTGTTTTTACAACTGACGAAAGTTGAAGTGAAAAGATGTGTTCACTTTTGCTTGATCAGATTACTGTGCTCCTAATTAAATAAATTAGGTCTCTCTTGTGAGCATCCATTTCCACATCTTAAAATTATATTACCTTTAAGCCGGGCGTTGGTGACGCACGCCTTTAATACAAGCACTCGGGAGGCAGAGGCAGGCAGATCTCTGTGAGTTTGAGATCAGCCTGGTCTACAAGAGCTAGCTCCAGGACAGCCTCCAAAAACACAGAGAAACCCTGTCTCGAAGAAAAAAAAATTATATTATCTTTAAAGAGAGGTTTCTTTTTTATTGTTATTATTTTTTAAAGCATTTTAGCCAGGCCATGGTAGCTCACGCCTTTAATCCCATCATTTGGGAGGCAGAGACAGGCTGATCTCTGTGAATTCAAGGCCAGCCTCATCTACAGAATGAGTTCCAGGATAGCCAGGGCTACACACACAGAAAAAGCCTGTCTCAACACCCCACCCTCACCCCCCTGAAAAGCTTTTAAAAAAATAGGTATGGGTATTTTGTGTCTGTTTGCATGTCTGTACACCATGTGTGTGCAGTGCCTGTGAGGGCCAGAAGAGGGTATTGCAGCCCTTGGAACTGAGTGTCAGATGGTTGTTAGCTGCCTTGTGGGTACTGACGTTCAATCCAGATTTTCTGCAAAAGTGGTTTTAACTGCTGAGTCATCTCTCCAGCCCTTAAAAGTGAAGCCAAGATAATACAGTGGAGAAAAGAAAGCATCTTCAACAAATGGTGCTGGCATAAGACTGGATGTCCACATGTAGAAGAATGCAAATAGATCCATGTCTGTCACCATGCACAAAACTCAAGTCCAAATGGATCAAAGACCTCAACATAAATCCAGTTACACTGAACCTCATAGAAGAGAAAGTGGGAAGTAGCCTTGAACACATGGGTGCAGGAAACCACTTCCTAAATGTAACACCAGGTCTACGGCCATACCACCCTGAACGTGCACAATCTCGTCTAAATGTAACACCAGTAGCACAGACACTGAGAGCAACAATGAATAAATGGGACCTCCTGAAACTGAGAAGCTTCTTTAAAGCAAAGGACACAGTCAGCAAGACAAAGCAGCAGCCCATAGAATGGGAAAAGATCTTCACCAACCCCACATCTGACAGAGCTGATCTCCAAATATATAAAGAACTCAAGAAACTAGACACCAACATACCAAATAATCCAATTAAAAATGGAGTACAGATCTAAACAGAATTCTCAACAGACAAAACTCAAATGGCCAAAATGACGTTTAAGGAAGTGCTCAACATCCTTAGCCATCAGGGAAATGCAAATCAAAACAACTCTGAGATACCATCTTACACTGGCAAAAATGGCCAAGATCAAAACCACTGATGACAGTTTGTGCTGGAGAGGATGTGGAGAAAGGGGAACACTCCTCCATTGCTGGTGGGAGTGCAAACTTGTACAGCCACTTTGGAAATCAGTATGGCAGTTTCTCAGAAAATTGGGAATCAGTCTACCACAAGACCTAGCAATACCACTCTTGGGTATATACCCAAAGGATGTACAATCATATCATAAGGACATTTGCTCAATTATGTTCATAGCAGCATTATTACTAATAGCCACAACCTGGAAACAACTTTGATGCTGATCAGCTGAAGAATGGATAAAGAAAATCTGGTACATTTACATCATGAGTATTACCAGAAAAACAGCAACAACAACAATGAAATCTTGAAATTTGCAGGCAAATGGATGGAAATATAAAAAACCATTCTGAGTGAGGTAACCCAGACCCAGAAAGACAAACATGGTATGTACTCACTCACAAATAGATATTAAACACAAAGCAAAGGACAACCAGGCTACAATCCACAACCCCATAGAAGCTGGGTCAAAGGAGGACCCTAAAAGGGACACACATGATGGGTCCCCGGAAGGGAAAATAGTTAAGATTTCCTGGTTAAACTGGGGGAGGTGGGGAGAAGGGAGTGGATGGGAGACGGGAACATGAAGGGTCAAGAGCACAATGGGGAAGCCACAGAGACAGCTGACCCAAGTTAGTGCGAGCTCACGGACTATGGACGACAGCTGGGGACCTGCATGGGACCCCACTAGACTCTGAATGTGGGTGACAGTTATGTGGCTTGATATGTTGAGGGGGCCCCGGCAGTGGGACCAGGATTTATCCCAAGTGCATGAACTGGCTTGTTGGAGCTCATTTTCCTTGGTGGGATACCTTGCTCAGCCTTGATGCAGGGGGAGGGCATTGGTCCTGCCTCAACTTGATATGCCCAGCATTGTTGACTCCCGAAAGGAAGCCTTACCTTACCCCTCTGAGAAGTGGGTGGGGGTGTGGAGGGGGTATTGGGAGAGCGGAACTGGGGTTGCTATGTAAAATGAAAAAAAATTTCTTTAAATAGAAAAATAGTAATAAAAATTATACCTTTTAAAAGGGACTATTATGAAGAAATAGAAGACACTGTATATGCAGGCAAACCTTAAAACTGAAAATGATACGGAAACATCAGGGTAGGACTCTAACAGTTCCTGTTAGAAGTATTGCTGTACTTCATATATACCAAAATAATCCACAGAAATGAAAAGTGCTGCTCATTATTTTCTGTAAGGTATTTTCCTATTTTTTTCATTAAAGACATTGTAATGTTGGCTGGTAAAATAGCTCAGTGGGTAGACACTTGCTACATAAGTGGAATTATACCTGTGACTAAGACATATTTCTATGACCCTAAGTTTCTAAATATGCTCATGGGTGCACAGTATTTCCAAAAGCTGACATTTGAGCACATATGCTTTACCAAATAATGTTTGCAATCTTTCTAGAAGGACTCTGCTGTGTGTAGTTCTAAATTCCTTATCCCACCCACCAATTCCAAAATAACCACTCTTAAGACTTATATTTACAATTGTTTAGCCGATGGCTCGATGGCTCAGGCTTCTTACATGCTAGCTGTACATATAAATGAACTCATTTCTAATATTCTGTATTTTACCACAATGGCTCATGGCTTTTAGCTCACATCTCACTTCCTTGGTGGCTACATGGCGTCTCCCTGACTGCCGCCTTTCTCTGCATCTTTGTTTGGATATTCTGCCTGGCTATATTCTTTTTTATTCATCAACCAATTAAAGCAATACATACTCGAAGCACACAGAAGGGCCTCCCCCATCAGCTATGCTTTGTTCAAGACTAAGAGTTTTGGAGTCTGTCCTGGAACTAGCTCTTGTAGACCAGGCTGGTCTCGAACTCACAGAGATCCGCCTGCCTCTGTCTCCCAAGTGCTGGGATTAAAGGCGTGCACCACCACTGCCCGGCTGTATACTTCATTTACATGCATGTGAACACTATGTGTGTGCAGAAACCTGCCAAGACAGACGAGGGTGTCCACATACAGGTAGTTGGAAGCTTCCGTCTGGGTACTGGGAACTGAGTTCAGGTCCTCTACAAGCGCCATAAGAGTTCTGAGTACTGTTTTCTCCTTGCTCTTCTGTTTGTGCTGAAGACAGAAGAAAACAAAAGCTGCTAAACGTTCTTATCCCTGTATATCTATACCATGTCCTATGAACTAAAGCTAAGAAAGTATATTTCTGTTCAATAAAATCCATAATATCTTAAAGAAACATAAAAAGTATTCTTGAGGAGGGGGAAGCCGAAAGAGAGCAGATGTGTGAACCAGGTCTAAGTGCTAAGGGTTGGAGGGTGTTGACACAGCTGGTCTGTACTCTGCCATTATTTAAACACCTTTATGCTGCTTTACTCCTACTTCTGTTTTAGGTATCTATTAATTTATTAACTTATTTTCAGGGTGGAGTTTCTTTTCTCTCTGTGTAGCCCTGGCTATCCTGGACCTCAGTGTGTAGACCAGGCTGGCCTCACAGAGATCTGCCTGCCTCTGCCTCCTGATGCTGGGATTAAAGGTGTGCGCCACCACCACCCAACTGTATTTATTATTTTTTTTTAATTTCTCATTTTTTGCCTGTTATGTTTTAAGCAACTTTAAGTTAATGCAACTACTCATTAGAGTGTTTGTATATGAGGTTTTTATGTAAAATGTTGGTTATGTTGGAAATTTTGTGGCATGTTTTTCAAACCCTCTGAACCTACATTGCTTGCTTCCCCGATGATCACAGAAAGCATTTCAATAGACTCAAGAGTCCTTGTTTGTTTGTTTTTAGACAGGGCCTCTCTATGTACCCCTGGCTGTCCTGGGACTCTATGTGGACCAGGCTTTGAAACCATCTCTCCAGCTCCCCTACCCCATTTAAAATTTAAGGAGAACATTTCTTTATAGTAGATGAGGTCATTGTGTGGGGTGAGGTTTAACAAAAGTGGAATTAGTGAATAATAATAATGATTTTGAGTAGATGCTGTGTCATGGATGTAGAATAGACGAAATAACATTCAAATGGATGCTGTGTTATCAAGAGAATGGCTTGAGAGACTGGACAGACAGCTCAGCAGTTAAGATCACACACTGCTCTTCCAGATGCCTGGTTTAGTTTCTAACACCCATGTGGCAGCTCACAACCATGTGTCACTCTGGTCCCTCCCAGGGTCCACAGACACTCACACACGTTAGAAAGAGGGGAATGATGGTCTGAAATAAATGACAGGACTAAACTTTGCTACTGTTGGATGTTGCAGATAGTGAAGCTCTTGCTTCGTCATGGTGGGAACCCATTTCAAGCTAACAAGCATGGAGAGCGTCCGGTAGACGTGGCAGAGACAGAGGAGTTGGAGCTGCTGCTAAAAAGAGAGGTGCCTTTGTCTGGCGACGATGAAAGTTACACAGGTTTGTGTCTTTCTTGTTGTTTTGAGACAGGGTTTTGCTCTTTAGCCCAGGCCAGCCTCAAACTGGCAATCTTCCTGCCCCGTCCTGCTGAGTACTGAGATTACAGGTGTGTGCTGCCAACCCCAGCTACAGGTTCAGATACTATATAGTCAGTTGTTTGGTGTGGTATTGCATAGAACATTCTGCACTGGTGTGTAATACAAAGACGAGTACCTTAGTGCCGGCTAGTTATTGAGTGCTTGTGTAGTTAGTGTTGAGTGGTGGAGCTACTGCCCTTTGTGTGCAGTGAACAGCTTACATGAATGAGGTCATAGCACCCTCACACAGTGTCTGTTGTAACCACAGAAGCTGCTAAACTAACCTTTTACTGCATTGGGTCTTACCACGCATGCCTATCAACACTGCCGCTGTCATTTCTTCCCCTTGCTTTCATTTGGTACCATGTAGCTACTAACAATATATAGTTCGTGTCTTTTCTTGACATTAATAAGTCATCTTTACAATTTGTGCCTTTATAAATGGGGTGATTGAGCCCTAATAAGCAATTTCTTTACAAACATAACTTTTATTTATTATTACTAGTTTTTTGTTTTGTCTTTCTGGTCAGGGTCTTACTTTTTTTTCAGGCCTGACCTTGAACTCAGGGCTCTACCTATCTCTGTCTCCTGACTGCTAGGATTAAAGTCATCCACCACCATGCCTGGCTACAAATGTAATTTTTAGAAAAAAAAAAGCAATCCAGCTGGTAACGGGACCCATGGCCCTGTACTTGTTAGGTAAGCATTTTACTGCTGAACTAGGCCCTAGCTCCTCAAGGGACATGTTAGAAAACACTTGTCATACTTATAGTTAAAAAATACAGCTTACGGATATTATAGGGAAACACTTTCCTGTGTTGAAGAGTTTTCTGGGTTCAAATTGAGCCCCTCGAGGAACATGTTAGAAAACACTTGGCATACACTAAGTAGACATGTGACTTTTATATTAAATTATACACATGGGATTAAGTACCAAAGTGTACTTTTAGCCATCTACAAGAAGTGAGAGTTTGAACACAGTTTTTAAAAAGTTTTACTTGTTATTTTTTTGTGGTAGTTAATCGTCTTTGATGTAGAAGGCTTTCTAAAGATTGCACCTTCTGAGTGTGGCCCTGGTGGCCCTGCACATAGGTAGCTGTAAACGTGCTGTCCTTGTTGAGAGGGGCCACCCGATGGTGGATAGAGGGATAAAGGAGCCACGCAGTAAAGACCAGCAGCCGTCACTGCCTAGCGACCTCTGCAGGACTTGTAAATATCATCAGTTGCTTAAAGGAGAGGTTATGCCTACCAAGAAAAACATAGTTTAAACACCAAACAAAAACTAAAACACTTGTGAAGAATAGTAAGTAGAGTAAACTCAAAAAAGGCATGTTATTGGGCTGGAGAAATGGCTCAGTGGTTAAGAGCATTGCCTGCTCTTCCAGAGGTCTCAGGTTTCCAGCACCCACCTGGCAGCTCACAACTGTCTGTAATTCCAGTTCTAGGAGATCTGACACCCTCACACAGACACATGCAAGCAGAATACCAGTGTACATAAAAATAAATAAATCATTAAAAAAAGACTTTTTTTTTCCGTTTTTCAAGACAGGGTTTCTCTGTGGCTTTGGAGGCTGTCCTGGAACTAGCTCTTGTAGACCAGACAGGTCTTGAACTCACAGAGATCAGCCTGCCTCTGCCTCCCAAGTGCTGGGATTAAAGGCGTGCACCACCACTGCCCGGCTTAAAAAAAAAGAATTTTAAAACAAGAAAAATGTCTTCTGGTCTGCTTAAATAAATAAACTACAAAGGATATAGATTAAAAACACATCTACTTAAAGTATTTATTAGTTTAAGTCAAATATATACTACCTCTATCTATTCAAGTATATCTATACTACTGTAAAAAAGTACTATTTTGGGTGGAGGTCTTGGGAGATGGTGTCTCAGTGGGTAAAGTGCTTGTTGCTTGAAGACCTGAATCTGGATCTCTAGCTCCTACAGAAAATGCCAGGAGAATGTCATGGACTGTCTGTAATCCTAGTGTTTGGGAGGCAAAAAGAAGGATTTTCTGAGGTAGACTGCCTAGCTAGACTAGCCAGATTGTCAAGGACCCAGTATACAAGGCGGGGAGTAATGAACCCTGGGACAAACATGCATGCAGGTCGCCATACAAATCTAAACCGTAAATGTATCTCAGCACATGGGTAAAGGTGCCTGCTGCCAAGCCTGCAATCTGAGTTTAACTCCTGGAACCCAGATGGTGAAAGGAGAGAGCCAACTCTCAGACGTTGTCCTCTGACCTCTGTGACCTCTGTCCATGCACTGTAGCAGTCACATAACCAAATATATAAGCATAAGACATTTTTAAAGAGAAGGGCTGTAGAGACAGACACAGCCATTAAAGGCTCACAGTCGAAGCATTACTCTCCTCTGCAGTCTAGCAATGGAGCTGAGGACCTAATGGGCGCAGGATAGTCTGACTGAGCACACCTCCATCCTGTGCTCACATAGGTGTAACCCTGATGTTTATCACACCACAGTCACCTGTTAGTCATTTAAGTGTTCTCTTTTTTTATTGGCAGCATTAGATGCACCACACTTGAAATCCTTGGTGGGGATCATCACCACCCACCACATGTCTTCTTTGTAAGCTAGCCTCTTACTGTATGTTTTTAAACTTCTCATTTACCCCCCTTTTTGGACAGAATATTATGTAGTCTGGGCAGACATCAAACTCACTGTGTAGTCAAACTGGCCTTGAATTTGTGATCCTCTTTCCTCTACCTCCCAAGTACTGCAATTGCAGGCATGTGCCATCACACCTGGTTGTGCTGGGGAACAGGCCCCAGGGCCTGATGAGAGTAATCAGGCACTCCACCAATTGAGAATACATCCTTAGCCCTCAAATTCTCAGCATTTTATTATGGAAAATACTCAAATATACTAATTTTCAAGGAATTATACATAGTACATATCATTAGACAGTGATAGGCCTGCAGGGTGTGTATGTGTGGGCAGGAGGCTGTGTGTGTGAGCCAGTGTCTGCAGATAGCAGAAGGGGACCTGATCTCCAGGGACTGGATTACAGATGGTTGTCATGAGGTGCCCAGCATGGCTTCTGGGAAGCAAACTTTAGTACTCTGCAAAAATAGCCGGCACATTTAATGGCTAAGCTATTTCTTCAGCATCAGCTTAACCTATCCTTCAAGTATAAAAGTAGATGGATAGATAACCAAAAAAATAGTGTGTATGAAGTAGTGGTGTAAAACATTAATAATAGACAAATCTGGTTAAAAGATATGTAGAATTTAGTAATTTCAATTTTTTAAACTTTTGAAGTTTGTTATTATTTTCAAATAAAGTATAAAATATATGCCACTGAAGGATGAAAGACGGCTCAGTGGTTAAGAGCACACACTGCTCTAGCAGAGGACCTGAGTTCAGGGCCAGTTCTAGGGAGGATCTGATGCCTCTGGCCACCACAGGTACCTGCACCGACATACGCTATCAAAATGTTCTTGCTCTATTAAAAGCCCTAAGAGAAACGAGTAAGATGGTAGCAAGGATTCCTAGCTCCCATGTGATCTTAAGATATTTTCTACCAGAAAAATAATGACGACTTTCTAGCATATACTTAGATGAGTTTGGAACTGTGTCTCACTTCAGATTTAAGGCGTTATCAAAGACAATGCAATCTTGTTAAAAGACCTCAAGAGACTACTTGAAGCGATTCCCCTCTAGTCAACGATGATGTCATGTCCTATCCAGTAAGATTAATTGCAAGGTTTGAGAACTCATCTTATCCATTTAAATTCATGGGTTTATAATGATAGTTTTAAACATTAATGTGTACTAATCAGAGAATGCTGGAGAACCAGTTTGTTTTCTAATTAAGCAAAGAAACAGGAAAAATCATTATTTTGCTTAATCTGTAGGAATCCTAAAACTGGGAAACTTGTTTGTGTTAAGAAATGTCTTTAGCGACTAAAGAGATGCCTCAGAGGTTAAGAGCATCAACTCTTCTTCCAGAGGTCCTTAGTTCAATTTCCAGCAACCACATGCTGGCTCACAACTATCTGTAGTGAGATCTGGTGTGTAGGCAAACATGCAGACAGAGCAGTATCTACATAATAAATAAAACTTTAAAAAGAAATATCTTTAGAAAATTAATCCAGGTAAAATATGTGGGAAAATGTGACCATGTTTGTAACCCTGAGTGTTAATATATCTAAGCATTGAACATCAGCATTTACTACCATTAAATAAAAAGCAAGAATAAAAATACCTTGTATCGCCAGGCGTTGGTGGCACACACCTTTAGTCACAGCACTGGGGAGGCAAAGACGGGTGGATCTCTGTTACAATAAATCTTTCTGCCAAAAGCCATCCACCACCACATGTGAGCTTTACACCAGCAGCCCGCCCAAGTTAGGGCCCAAATTAATACACAGAGAGACTTTAATGAGGTACAATGCTGCTTGGCCAATGACTAGGACTTCTCATCTGCTAGCTCAGTCTGAATTATCATAAACCTATATATTTTATAAGACTTATCTTATAGAGGATGCCTTCCGCCGCCGCCGCCCTCTCTTGCTGGTGGCTCACATCCTGCCACTGGAGGAGCCAAAGGGGAAAAGGAACACTTCCTGTTTCTCCTTCTTTAAATATGAGTCTCCTTGCTATGTCACTTCCTGCCTGGATCACCACTTCTCTACATCTCCCAGAATCCTCTTTGACTCCTAGTCCCGTCTAACTTGCTGTCTCATTGGCTAATATTTACTTTACTTTACTGTCTCATATTTACTTTAATATGTAAGGTACACAGATACAGCTCAGTGAACAGAGACTGACCCAGGGAGGTTATGTGAAGGTTCTTGCACATGAATCTAAGACTGAAACCTGCTAGGGGGCAGACAAGTATCTTCCCAGAGCTTCAGCCACTCACTGGGAAAGGTTACCTTACCTTCTGCTCCTGGCACCAGG